TCTTTTGAACAGTGGCTGCTTTGTTTCCCCGATGTATAACTGGTCGCAGTCCTCCTGGCACTTAACAGCATATACAACATTGCTCTGAGGCAATCTATTAGTTTCTTCTTGTAACCACTTCCTGGATCTCTCTTCAGCGGCTCGTATGTGGTCGTGTCGCTAAGGAGTKTCATRATCTTATCTTCATAGTCCTTCTGGTTCAGAATAAACTAGGGGTGTTGACATTTCATCAGCAGCTGCTGCCATTTTCTTCATAACCGGCTGTGAGTGTTCGCTTGCTATTTGCTCACACTTCGTTATTTCTACGATTTTCAACAAACTGTGCTGACGTCAGGTAGTTAGCCTTGTCTTTGAGCTTTTAATTTCTGTCAGTGGGTTTTGAAGAGCCTCTTAATTGAAAATAGAATCAAAGTCAACCATCCAAGTTTATCTAGTGACCCCCTAAAGAGTAGGGTTGGGTAAAATAATCGATTCAGCAATGCATTGCAATAAATTTTTTTGCAATTCAATATCGATTCAGAAAATCCACTGAATTGATTTGATCCTCTGGTCAGTTTGAGCTTTGGTTGGTAGCAATCCGGAACAACTTTGTTTATGGCAGTTTGGTGATAATTATGGGGCACGTCATGTGCATTGACCAAAACAAAACTTTCAAAGCAGATACAAAATGGATAAATGTAAACTAGATAAAGAAAACAGATGAAGTGGCCAGAAAAAAAGGAAACCTGGCTGCAGCCTGATGACAGTCAGGTAGGTGGAGGATTTTGCTGTGTTTGGGGAAAAAAGAAGCAAACAGGTCAAAGTGTGTAAATGTAAGCTAGCAKTTTGCTAAGTGCTTAGCTGTTTAGCCGCAGCAGGATTGTGTAGTCTGTCTGTCTCGGTTACTTTAGTTATTGAATAAAACTATTAACACAGAAAGATGTGGTTTGACCRAGACTACAGCCAAACTGTGTCTACATTTATGTTTGACATCTATGTTTCCTCCCTCCCCCTAAAATGAAAGTTTTCTTCTTAATATTATTTTCAGATATTCATAAGGAAAGTGAAAATCTGCCAGTTTTAATTCCACACAGGGATTTAGCTAAAAAAAGGTGATGTTCTGTGATACTGCCTGGCTGCAGGATTACATATTTATTACAGAGAATGTTGATGATGACACAGCTAGTTTGTGTAGATTTTCAAAAACAAGTTAACCACAACATTAATCTACAAATTATGGAGCTCTGTAAGGACTCTGTTGGAATTCATTTATTTGTCTCATGTTCTGATGTTGGAAAGCAAATACCCCCACTGCAACTTCATTTTGTGTCATTTAAAGTGTGAATTTTTGCACAGATTCCCACAGGTTGGCATGAGTAAAAAAAGTTGATTATCACCACCACAAAAAARGTTTCAGGCTCAGGATTTTCATTTACGGTAGTTTAGTCTTGAGTTTGTTAGGTTTTATGTTTTTATTCCATATTCAGTACAAGTACTATTGTTCTACTGCTTTATTTCCAAATTTTTTTAAAATGGTAATGCAAACATCTTTGTTTATATGGGCAAGAAAATAAAAAATCAAAAAACTTATCTGCAGGGACTCTATAATGAATGTTATGTGTACTTCTTCTTATTAGGAAAC